CCCCAAAACCCCAAAACCCCAAAACCCCGTAGAGCATATTAATTTTTATTTTGAAAAAGTATAAATTTAATAGTAATTCTGCGGGGAAGCCTAATATAATTTATTTAGCTTAATAAAGTAATAAAATACTTAAATCTATTTTCACTCATATTATCTGCGGAATGTTTCAGAGTGACAGCAACAGCAACCAAAATAACATTTTCTAAAACAATGAGGCATACTCCCCTTAAGATATCTTTAAAGGTGCCTCTCTATATGATCTTATTCAAATAAGTTTGAATAAAAGCCAATAGCCTGGTTTTATATCAGTTGATTAGGGAAGCAGAGATCAGAGTCCCTCTTAAAATGATGGAAACCATACAACTGGTGATATGATATAGTTCATCCAAGATGCTATGAAAAGAAATAGCCTGTATAAGAAAGACTCAAAAGATATAAGGAATCATGGACATCTTCTTGACAAAATAGTAACAGTAGAAGATATTGAAGGGCTTCACTAAAATAACATGACTGAGCTACCAATTGAAGATGATTTCATAAACCCAGAAACCATTGGGACATACAGAAACAACAACGAAGATAATCAATGTTTAATATCAGAACAAACAGCTAAGATTGCTATTGATTAGATTCCTATCAATGATAGAGATTAGCCATTAAGTTCAACTAGATGGGCAGGCCATAATGACTTAGAGCAATGCCAGGAATCAATTTATAATAATACTCAAGAGTATCATAATGTAATGAACTCTGGTATTCAAACTCCGAATCCAATGGATATCAGAAGCAATCTAGGATCTGATGTTCTAAGTGTTGATGATTAAATAAAGGATAAGTTTAATGAGATAAGCAATGAAAAATCATTAAGAAGCACCATAAATAATCAATCAAAAAATAAGCCCAAAGTTAAAAAGATTAAAAGGCTTGGATCACCTAGTGCATCGTCAAATCATAAAAGTATGAAGAAGTTTAATGTTCCGAGTTCCCCAAAGAGTATAAACTTTAAGGAACCTATTAGTGCTTAGCATACACCTTATAAAGATGCAAAGAAATAAGTTCCAAATGATCAGAAAAAGAATCATGAAAACCTCGTTAGGAAAGCATCTAAAAATGGCTAATCAACGCTCTCTAGCTTGTAATCTCCTTAAATAATACCCTCACCTTTCCTGCTTGCTCGTAGATCTCCTAGAGTCAGACACGATTATAAGCCAATTAATAACAATACAAAGGTTATCTATCCCTCTAAGACACCAAGAGAGGGTTCAGATCATTCTAATAGATAGATCTCAGCAACTAGAGCGAAGGTATCTAAGAGTACTTTAAGAGGTGGAGGTCCAAAACAATGCAATGTTGATTTTATCAAGGAAAACATAAAAAATCCTAGAAATGGTGCTGCTATTTTCTCTCCCTCAAATAATAACACTTAAGAGTCTCTAGGTGACAAATTTAGTAAAATTAATCATGAGCGATCTAAGTCTGTAAGAAATAAATTTAGAGTCTAAAGTAGACATGGACAAGTTACATCTTCAAAGAAATCATCTCAGTTGAATATGATAGATGTCAAGAACTATTCATCAAATTAAACAATTCAAACAAGCAAACCCTGTGGATATGAAACTGAAGATTCCTAGACCATCTCTAATTGTGGAATGATAAAATCCAAAGATCTTCTTGGTAAATTCTAAGTAGTAAAGATAAAACATCAATCCAATAATGTTACTGCCAGCTCAATAAATGTTGTGAAATATGATTAGACTAGTGTTTCAAGCTCTCATTAATCTGTAAAAGATATAATCTCCTAATAGAAACCTATTGCTCTTAGACATCAATAAAATGGAAAAAAGCTCTAGAAAAATACCACAAGAAAGTCGCTGATGTTAGCTCAATTAAATAAAATCAACAATGGTGTTATCTAAGAATTTACAAGAATTAAAAAGCCTTAGAAATAGGCTCTTGTTATTGGGAAATTATTCTGTGTATTACTTTGTGCCTTTAGAAGTCCTCCTCTCAGCGATGATTACTCATTTGATGTAGTCTAAAAAGAATTTGAAAAATGGGAAAGTATTCAATATTTCCTGCTTTCAAACCCTGGAAGAACACTGAATGAATGTTAAATGATTAAGCAAAGAGCATTGTAAAAAGATCAGATAAATCTTAAATACATTGAAAGCATGATTAAATAAATCGCAGAAAATGAAGCTATATTAAAAAATATTCCAAATCAAAATTTGAAGATTATCTTTGATGTCATCACTAGATCGATAGTTTATGTAGAATTCAAGCATATTAGTAAGGCTAAAAAGACTAATATCATGAGAGGAAATAACTCAGATTTGAATGTGGTTTAAGATAGTCTTTCCTAGAACTACCTTCAAAACACATAAACAGAAGATGAAGAGGAAATAGAAGATGAATATAATGATGGCCCTGATGAGACTGAGATGACTATCTAATCTAAGATGATAAATGATCATCTCTCTCATAGAAGTCTCTAGGATAAATAAAGTATTTTGAGTAGTCCGCCTCATATCAATACTGATATTGATCTAGTTTCAAATGGAAACGATAATAACATCTATAAATCGATTCATGAAGTTACAGTTCCAAACAATGCTAGATTCCTTGATAATGACTATTATAAAACTCCTGATCAAGTTAAGTATGGCTATGCTTAATCGAAAGGCACATCGCCCTCAAAGTACGGCTCCTCGATAAAAGATCCCAGTGTCGATTAGTAATTGAAAAAGCTTTAGCAGAATTATTCCTAGTAAAATAGTGAAACTAGAGAAATCAAGAAGTCTCCCTTAATCAAGCATAAATTTATTACTTAAAGTCAACCATAATCAAACAGCTTAAAAAAGAATGATTTACCCATAAATTAAGCAATTAAAGAAGTTCAGATTAATCTAATCACCAGTAACACCAATGAGGATGGAGATAATATGTCTCTAGATAACCAACAATACCAAGATATATATGTTAACTTAGAGACATTCAACAATAATCAGGATAATTACTATCGTAATGCTCTACTAGATAATTCTAAGGGAAATTCTTTTATTGAGAATAGAGCCTCTTAAATTCTTTAAGAAGTATTACAGATCCAACAAAACTACAACAGCAATCCTTCTTAGGCTCATTTATAACCAAAGGATATTTCAAAGAGCGACTAAAGCGACAGAGAAGAATCGAAAGTGTCCTTCTATCAAGAATCAGATAAACTTAGCTAACAGCTTAGTTATGGTAGTAAGCATTCAAGAAGAAGTTCAGTTAAAATTGAGCAACCTCCTTAAATTCATTCAGCTATTGAATATGAAGACTCGCCAATGAGTGTTGGAACAAGTAAGTCTTAGCAGGGTATACCACTTTCTCAATAACATATCCCAACTACTCAGACAACAATTAAAAAACCAAAGAAGTAACTTTCCCCAACTCAAAAGTTGATCAAGTTCAAGAATAAATCTCATAAGGACAAGCAAAAGCTTGCCTCAACAATAACTAAGGGTGATAATTCCTAAAAGAATAGTAACACAAAGAGTAGCAAATAAACATTTGACTATTACTAAAATTTAGAACATAAAAGAATGGCATCTCAGACATAAATTCAGCCTAAGAGTGATAGAAACGCTACACCTCACTCACTTAGTTCTACTTAGAAAATGAGTGAGGATGCTAACAACTATTAAATCTAACTTTCAAATAAGGACATATTCAACTTTGCTGATAATGCCAGTAACACAGATGATAACACTGTTAGAGGAAATTCTTTATAAGTATCTCAGGCCTAATCTAGAATAAATATCTATGAAAATCTTACTTAACTAGCAGATTAATGTATAGAAAATGATGGGTTTTAACTAAGACTTTAAAAAGTTCTAGATCAAGATAGTCCTTAATTCTCTGCTATTCAGCAGTAAACTTTGAAAGTTTAGCAAACGCCTTATCCTTAGTAAATTTCTAATCCAAGTGATTCTTTTGTTGGTGCATCAGGATCATCTGCCTTGACCGAATCCGCAATAAGCGCTACAACTTTAACTAAAAGAGAAATTAACATGAAAACAATAGAAGAACTAAAACAGAGAAGACTTAATCAAATGAGGGATGGTGTGAGTTCTTAAATTCTGTCAGAGAAAAGAGACGATATGATTAAGAAAATTCAAGATGATATAGCTGATAAAATGATAGAAAAAATGAGAGCAGAGTTATTATGAAATGATTGAGTTCAAGGATCATTAACGCAAATGAAGTAAATATTTGTTCAACTATTTATTTATCTAATTCTAAGTTAATAAATTTAAGATTCGCCCTAATAGCTATCACTTTAGGGGTTTTGGGGTTTTGGGGTTTTGGGG